AGAATTAGTTTAGTTGTCTGCTGGAGGCTTGCTACTACAATGAGAAACCAGACTTACCTATTAGTAGGAAGTTGTTATTGGGATAGTTATGTGTACATGCAATTTTGTGAATGAATATAATTTTGCTTATCTATTAGAGTTTAAGAAGCATGGTGGAAATGTACACATATTGCCTGTCTTTTGTTTGATTGAACTGATGTCAAGTTTGTAGATGGTAGACGGGTAATTGTTTCATGCTTAAGTGATTTCGGTTCTTGCATCTCTTTAAGTCTAAAATGATGACTTCTTTATCTGGAATAGGCAGTCTCGGAAAATCATTCTCATGCAACTGATGCATTGCATGAACTGAAATCTTTTCTGGATAAAATTGGAGAACCGTATTTATCTCTGTATTGCTTGGAAAACCCATGCTTTTTCCCCACAACTATAGGCCAGGCACTAGCATTTTCCTCTTTGAGCCTACATATATTAGTAAATAGTTGTGGGAATATGATGACTGTACTTTGCAGTAAAATTAGTTTTGTTTGGAATAAGCTGCTTTTGTGTTTAGTACAATTTTTGTAAGTCGATTTCTACTTTGCTTTTACAGTTGCTTTTGTGTTTATTCAATTTTCTAGTTCTTATAGATAACAATTGTTTCAGTATCATATGTGTGGAATATGCCGCAGGTCATATCCTACAGAAAGCTAAAGAGATGTCAGCCAGCTGTGTTGTTTATTTATGTCCAGAACAGATCCATGTATATTTTGTGTCATCTCTGCCTCGATATTCTTCATGAGTAGTGTGAATCTCTGAAAAGCCCTTTGGCATGGGTGTTTGTATTTGGACTGTAAGAGGTTTTTTAGCAGGGGTTTGCTGCACTTTTCACTTCTCTGTTTCTAGATTGCTTTGGGTTGTCTGTTACCACTGATTTTGAAATTGGTGGAGCTGGGAAAGTAGGTGAGATTGGGTTTGAGGTGTAGTGCCTAGAAACATAGGGACTAACTTTAATTCTCAACTCTTATTAGGGGTTGTTTGGATTGAGTATTTTGGGGTGTTGTTTGGTGTCAAATAACAGATTTTGTGTTATTTGACCTCAAATAACATGTTTGGCTGACAAAAAGTGGGATGCGTTATTTGGATGTAAGTGTTTTGCCAAATAACAGGTTTGAGACCAAATAACACAAAAAGTGTTGTTTGCCAAATACTTGGGAGGGGGCAGGTATTTGCCAAATAACAAGTTTGAGACCAAATATCACATACCAAATAACAGGTTTTATATTATGTGGTATTTGTGTGGTAATTGACCCCAAATAACAAGTTTGTCAAATACTCAATCCAAACGACCCCGTAGTTTATTGTGGGAACTAACAGAGTGATTCATTATTCAGGTGTCTTGAACTAAGCTACTTGTAGTTTCATGTCCAAGTAGGATGTAATATGTACATACGTTTGCTGTTATGTATTTTCGATCCCCTTCGCGTTACTTTTCTCTCGTAAATTTTTTCATATTCTATAGTTGAGGCCAAGGATTCAAGTGATGATGATGCATCTTTTGGTTCTTTTGAAGGGATTCCATATTGTTGTTAAGAAGGTTTGTAAAGAACAGAGTTCATCTTTTGAGTCATTGAGAATGTCTTACCACTTGAATACTAATATTATTAGTGTCTTATTTTAGATGAGGTCAGTTCATTTGTAGCATTAAATAATTCCAGCGAGGTTTAAAACTACTGCATGCTAAATGCTAACAAGTAGCTACATTTTTTAGCATTCAAGAAAAGTAACTAAATGCTAACATTTTTAATGCCCTAGTAATGTTACCATTAAAAACCCGCTGGTTCACTTTACCTACCATAGATGGCCATGCCTGGCTACTCAAGCAATGTCACTGCAAAGGTTCCTCAATATTAGATTATGTGTTATTATAGTTACAAGTTGCATGCCACTTGCAACTTCAGGAGTTCTAAGCAATAATCAGGAGATTAATGGAAGAAGCAGCTGCCTCCTCTAAGAGGTAGAGAGAGGTCCTTGTTAATGAGAATATGGTTGGATGTCCCTAAAAGAGTTTATAAATCGGTGGTTTTTTCTACTGAAGATAACAAACATAAGACTTCAAAGCAGTACTGACACACTACGACACAACACCTAACAATGGCCAAGTGTAACCAATGAAAGGGATTGCAGTATAGTGGCACTAGTAATAAATATCGAATCCACGGGTCTCTAGAGTTACTATTACTCAGCTTCAGTTCATTATCTAGCAAACTAGATTAAGGATTGATTTGTAAACTACTCTACTGACTATTCTACTAATTACAAGTTGAGAACTCACTTAGGTATGATTCCCCCTAGCTCCTCAATTAGGTCCAAGTTGCAATTACCTTTGGTTGATCTACTGTTGATTACACTGCGGAAGATCCTAAATTAGCTTGGAATCTCTTAAGCTGACCAAGCCCTCTTAGACAGAATACTCGACAGGCGACTAGCCTTCACCGGGATAGACTGTTAAGGCGATTCACACAGATCTCCACTACTGGAATGAATTCCAGTACAAAGCAGTGAATTGATTGACTCTCGCACAACCAATTCACCACTATCAATCAAGGAAGCTCTCTTAACCTAATCAGATTCTATCTATCATAGGTTAAAGCAGAAATCAAGAGAAGATGATTAGGCTTCAATTGATTCTATAAATCATGCCTCAACAGATTATAATCAAACAATATAGCTTCCAAAACTTCATACAAGAAAGATCCTAACACATGGAACTAGGGTTCCTCAAAACCTAAGTGAAGGGAAGTTACTCCATAGAGAAGAGAGAGACTGCAGAAATCTGATCTGGATCTTCAATATCCATCTCCAAGCTTGATTCCCGAGCTCCAATGGCGAAGAAATCCTCCAAAATAGCTCCAAGAATGTTCCCAAGTCGCTCTCTCTCTCTAGGGTTCGTCCCTTGGGCGGTTGGGATCCAAAAACCCAGCTCTCCCTTTCCTTTGGCTCGAATCTGGCTAAAAAACCCGATTCTGGGCAAAATACGGGCAGAAATACGGTCGTAATTCTTCCATGCCCGTATTTTTCCCAAAACACGCGTTTCACTTGACTCGGAAGAGAGGATTTACGGTCGTAATTTTCCAATTACCGCCAGTAATTACTGAATTACGACCGTAATTAAAGTGACTCTTGCCCGTAATTGACTCTGCGACAGGAATTTTGGAAATTAGGCTCGGCATTGAAATTACGGGCATGCCAGGAGCAATTACGGCTGTAATTGGGCAGGGGCTGCCCATAATTCTTCCTCTGCCCCTGTTTTATGATTCGTTTCTCCCTTGTCCGGACTCCGAATCAGTCGCGATTTGATCCCAGACGCTCGTAGTCTCGTCCTCTTTCTTTTCATAACAAAATTACATGATTATTTGTCCATAATATGAGGTAGAAGTCCATTATTCCTCAGGTCATGCTCGTGTTTCTTATCCCGAATTGCCAAATGATCTCCGATTGACTTGAAACTTGTGCCTATGCTTCAATTTACATGCTAGGACCTGAAATGTGACAAAGGAACACAACCTAGCATAAAATCGTCCAAGAAAGCACAAACTCAAGCCAAAATGATCAAGAAACGAGGGTGCAAACATGTGCAAATACGATGTTATCAAATTCCCCCACACTTAACCGTTTGCTTGTCCCCAAGCAAACCAAGTCAGATACAAGGTAAGCTCAAAACATCTTAATCATGAAACCCTTGGGGACATATCATATAGGCACGAAACACGGGAATCATACTAGCTTTTAGACATCAACACATGAACAACTTCAACCGCAACCTGGACAACCACCACAGAGGATATTCGAGTGCAGCAAAATCGAGTAAAGGAGGAGTTTCCCTTCTGTTCACCAACCAACCTATACTCGACTCAATCACTTATTCAAGACAGTCAACTCATGCATAAAACTCAAGACATCATAATCAAGACCGAGCCATCTAGGTCCTCACCGGGGTAAAGAGTGTAAAGAACAAGGAAATGAATCGCTCACTTTCGACCAGTGGGGTCAGGACAATTTGATGCAAAAAATGCGCATACTTATTCTCTCAATCCCTAACGTCTCTTCACCATGACGGCAACCTCTAAATGTTAGAGTTCACAAAAATGGGTGTCATCACTAACTAATCCGAAGCTCTTAGACACAGGTTCAAATGACTGGCTAGGGTCTTGGACATGGGGAAAAGGCCTTTTAGGTGGTGGAAGTATTCATAGCACAAGGTTCCAGAGTTTCAAACCCAACACAATCACAGCCAATCAAACCAGTAACTTTCTTTCTGCTATTCTGCATTACTCAAATTCTCTAGAGCACCAGAGCGAAGGAGGTCATACAAATGTTAGTATTTCCAAGTCAAACTGCTAAGAAACACTACTTAATGGGCACTATTCAGATTTTTGGTAGTGGCTCTCTTTTGCTTTCATTTTTTTCTTTGTTTTTCTTTCATCATTTTTTTCCATTTCTTAAGAGAACCACCAGCTCTGCACATTTTTCAAACACATGCCCAATTTTTAAGCACTACCTCCAACCCTCACATTATATTTAGCAGAAATAGCAGAGAACATGTAAAAACCACTCTGTGGAACATTCTAAGAGATGCAAAAGGGTAATTTTCCATTGTAGACCGAAAGATAGGATAACACACGGCTCAAAGGGGCTGACTAGGGGGTATGACACACCAGGACAGTCAATTTGGTCGTGGACTAATCCTATGCCTCCATCATCTTAGCTAATGACAACGCGAATGCTGCACATCATGGAAGAGGGAACTATCGCACAAGAAAGAAACGAGCAGACTCAAATCTCACATGGCTACCTATATGCTATATCTCTCATTCTGATTCCCTGAACTAGATGCATAAACGACTGTCAAGAACAAGTGGTCAATCCAAGTCACAGTTGGTAAGCAAATAGTTGAAAAACTGAACTCCTACACAATTCTACTGCACGTCTCAGTCATCATTATAGGTTGTCCTAGTCACATTCCAGTTGTCATGCATTAATTCGAAAGCTATTCGATTCTCCAATTAAACCATAGTGCCAATATGATCAAGCAAACAGCAGTGCTTGGAGCCCTCAAATCTCAAGATTTGGACAGTGGACTAGGGTCCAAGCACACACATACAGCCAAACATTCACACGCATACATAATCGAACATCCCCCCACACTTAAGCACGACATTGTCCTCAATGGAGGAAAGATAAGGAGGGTAGAACGAATTTACCAGATCAAGGGTGAATGATGGTGGACGGGGCAGGAGGTGCATTCTAGGAGGAGAGCGTAGTCGGAACACAAACACCCCACAAAATCTCACAAAGGTTGAGTTATTGACTCTAAAATCAAAGAACAAAACTAACTCAACCGAGGAGAAATAGAGAAAGAAATGCAAACCGACTGGTTGGGTTGCCTCCCAACAAGCGCTTTTTTCACGTCGTGAGCCAGACGATGGCTCCTAAGTTTCGGTCCACCCAAGAACCTCTTTGAAGTTGAGGTTCTCGTCGATGAGGTGGAATCTCAAGTCACGAGAATGTGGTATGACAGGTGATGGAAGCTCGTGCACTTGATGCAGATGAAGTCTCCACCCTCGAGACTTCTTGTTCTCTTCTCTTGTCTCATTGCTGCAAACCAGATATGACAACATTGAATGGACACCATTGCGTCCACCAAGATTGACCGATGTCGATGTGGCCTTGGTCTGGCAAAGAGACACTGCAAATGGGTCCTTGCTAAGCAATTCCTCGAAGTTTGGTGGAGATAGCACATGTAACTCATGGCCGGTGCAAGCCTCTTCCACCTCAACTTCATCCTCGGCCTGGACGCCAATTGCTTCTTCAACCCCCCTTCCTTCTTCATGTGGTATCACCCCTGAGAAAAGATCAAGAACTCCTTCTGCTTCACTTTTGTCATCCTCCACAACTTCATTCTGCACCCTTTCTTGCTCTTCTTCTTCCAGCACGGATTGGAGAGCAAGTCGCGATGCAAGGTTCTCAATAAGTTCAGCTTGCATCTCCTTGCTCGGGCCCAGCATGTCAGAGCGGAAATGGTGAAAGTTGTGATCTACCCCCAGAGGATACACTGGATAATGATTACCATGGGAGCTTTCTGTGACAACTTCTGTATGCTCCTCATCATCATCATGATTGCCTTTTTCTTCCTCCTCCTCTACTTGTATGGCAGCATAAAGGTTGTCTTGAGAAAACTGTGAACAAGCTTTCTCAATGACCTCTATGTGCTTCTTTATGCTCCGAAGGGTATCCTCTGTTTCACGGGGGAAGGAGAAGTCAGTTTCGGCAATGGCCTGGATAAGAGGATCCATCTCGGGAAAAGGTCTCTCAGGTACTCGAGCAATCTGCTCCACGAGAAGCCTCAAGTGATATTTGGATCTGGCTGTGGAGTGTAGCATGGCTCTGCTGGATGGCCCGTGAGGGCTGTGGCGAAATCCAGATCTGATGGCCCTACTAGTTGTGGGAGGAATTCTTCTGGATAAGTAGGTTGTTCTTGATATGCCCAGGGGTCTGATTGTTCTTTGTATTAAGGGGGTTGGTACTAGGACCCGAATCCATAGTCCTCTCCTCCTTGATTGCTCCAGGAAGTCTCGGGGTAATACCACTCAGATGGTGGTGGATACCCCCACTGGTTAGAGAAGCCATTAGGATCCATGATTCAGATCTGCACCAACAAAAACAAAAACACCCAAGTGAAAAGCAACGGTGGAAAAAAACGCTAAAGTAACAAACTTCTACCTTTCCAAATAATCTAGAAAGTCCCCGGCAACGGCACCAAAAACTTGACACGCTACGACACAACACCTAACAATGGCCAAGTGTAACCAATGAAAGGGACTGCAGTATAGTGGCACAAGTAATAAATATCGAATCCACGGGTCTCTAGAGTTACTATTACTCAGCTTCAGTTCATTATCTAGCAAACAAGATTAAGGATTGATTTGTAAACTACTCTACTGACTACTCTACTAATTACAAGTTGGGAACTCACTTAGGTATGATTCCCCTAGCTCCTCAATTAGGTCCAAGTTGCAATTACCTTTGGTTGATCTACTGTTGATTAAACTGCGGAAGATCCTAAATTAGCTTGGAATCTCTTAAACTGACCAAGCCCTCTTAGACAGAATACCCGACAGGCGACTAGTCTTCACCGGGATAGACTGCTAAGGCGATTCACACAGATCTCCACTACTGGAATGAATTCCAGTACAAAGCAGTGACTTGATTGACTCTCGCACAACCAATTCACCACTATCAATCAAGGAAGCTCTCTTAACCTAATCGGATTCTATCTATCATAGGTTAAAGCAGAAATCAAGAGAAGATGATCAGGCTTCAATTGACTATAAATCATGCCTCAACCGATTATAATCAAACAATATAGCATCCAAAACTTCATACAAGAAAGATCCTAACACATGGAACTAGGGTTCCTCAAAACCTAAGTGAAGGGAAGTTACTCCATAGAGAAGAGAGAGACTGCAGAAATCTGATCTATATCTTAAATCTCCATCTCCAAGCTTGATTCCCGAGCTCCAATAGCGAAGAAATCCTCCAAAATAGCTCCAAGAATGTTCCCAAGTCGCTCTCTCTCTCTAGGGTTCATCCCTTGGGTGTTTGGGATCCAAAAACTCAGCTCTCCCTTTCCTTTGGCTCGAATCTTCCTAAAAAACCCGATTCTGGGCGAAATACGGGCAAAAATACGGTCGTAATTCTTCCATGCCCGTATTTTTCCCAAAACGCGCGTTTCACTTAACTCGGAAGAGAGGATTTACGGTCGTAATTTGCCAATTACCGCCAGTAATTACTGAATTACGACCGTAATTAAAGTGACTCTTGCCCGTAATTGACTCTGCGACAGGAATTTTGGAAATTAGGCTCGGCATTGAAATTACGGGCATGCCAGGAGCAATTACGGTCGTAATTGGGCAGGGGCTGCCCGTGATTCTTCCTCCGCCCCTGTTTTATGCTTTGTTTCTCCCTCGTCCGGACTCCGAATCAGTCGCGGTTTGATCCCAGACGCTCATAGTCTCGTCCTCTTTCTTTTCATAACAAAATTACATGATTATTTGTCCATAATATGAGGTAGAAGTCCATTATTCCTCAGGTCATGCTCGTGTTTCTTCTCCCGAATTGCCAAATGATCTCCGATTGACTTGAAACTTGTGCCTATGCTTCAATTTACATGCTAGGACCTGAAATGTGACAAAGGAACACAACCTAGCGTAAAATAGTCCAAGAAAGCAAAAACTCAAGCCAAAATGATCAAGAAACGAGGGTGCAAACATCTGCAAATACGATGTTATCATGTACCTTCTGCTTGGTGCAAGAAAAGGTCCGAGTAAAGTTTCCACGGTATGCAAAAGTTAATCTAATTGAATAATTTATGTACATTTGAAGAATCTGCTAAGCTTGAGCTTTAAATTGTTTCCCTCATAGCAGTTTCTAAATTGTAACTGATGCATGTCTTGGTAGGTTGTCATCTGGATTAGGTTGCATTGCATACTGAAGACGGAGATATAGGAGTGGGTATTTGCCCAAACTTAATTAATGAAAGACAAGACAGAACAAGAGGTTGTTACTGTCAAACAAGTTGAAATGAACTTGGCTTTCTTGCTGCAGCTATTGATCATGCGAATGAGTCTATGCATGAAGCCAAGGATGGAGAAAATAATTTTTTACTTATGAATATGCTCAGATTTGGTAGTAGGAGGTTGTAATTAATTTTCACTATGTTGGAGTTTTATGCTACAGTTTCAATTATATGTTAGTTAACATTGATTTGAACTAACTGTATTGACAATAATGTTAGCAATTTCATGCTATAAAAGTTGGTATTTTCAATTGTATGGTAATAAACAAAATTTTATGTATCAAAGGAAAATATAGTGACTAGTTATTGATTATTAGCCATAGCAAAATATAGTGACCAATTGTTAGTATCTAGACATGGGAGAATCAACGAAATACTGTGACCAATAATTGGCAACTAGTCACGGGAATTTATTTTTTCATTGTAAATACTGTGTTAAAAGCTTTACATCCCGTCTTTAAATGTGTTTTTTTGTTGGTTTTGTGTGGCAAGATTTAATATTGGTCATGGGAGTTCCCGTGATTAATAGGTGCAAATTATCATGGGAAATTGTACCGTGATTAGTTAATATTAATCACGGTACAAATTTTCGGTGAACTTTACAATTAGACACGGAGGTATATATTACGGTAACTTTCCCGTGACTAGAACTACTAAACACGGGAAACACACTTTCAAACAGGGTATATACCGTGATCAAATGGTCATTTTCCTGTAGTGTTTAAGGAAAGCCTAGATGGCTTCTCATACATATGAGTTGGGCAATCGGACTACCTAGTGAGGGATCCCCGTGCTAGTCAAGTATTTAAGTTGAGATTTGAGTTTTAAGAATGGAGAGTAACAGTAGCTCCCATACAACTTTAACAATTAAGATTTTTAAGAGTGGAAGTACAAACAACTTCCATCAGTTTAAGTTAAGTGTCTTAAGTAAAGTATTCAAGTACTAGAGATTTTAAACATAAGAGCGTAGACTGACCCCATCTCACTCACCAGGCCTTAGTAAAGGAACGAGTGAGAACCAGCCCGATAGCAGTTAGTTAGAGGAGCAGGTAGAGAGCAGCGAGATCGACAAATGGGTTCGAGGCAAGCCAGCTAGAGGAGGATGGTTCAAACGTCATGGTGGATGCCTAGTCAAAGTTTCAGTAAGCGGCAATGTTAGACATTATTGAGTTATTACATTTTATGATTATGAGTATAGACTTGAGATCGGATTGAGATTTTAAAGTTTGACTTTAATTTGCCCACGGGTTAGGTCGTTGCTTTGAACTAAAAGACTGTGTTTTCAGTATTTTATTTATGAAAAAAATTTCCACTGCAATTTAAGATTTGAGTATTTCATTTTTCAATGGCATTTTAGTAAAATTAGTGATTGGCCGAGCTAGGGTGTTTCACGAAAGGTATCATTTACTCAAAATCGAACAACCCAATCTACTTGATGTTTGAGGTCACAAACTTGAAGGAGACTACACTTTTTCTACACACAAACAATGAAACAACTACTTTTTGTGCTCTTGTGTTGACAAACTATATATATAAACTAAAATACAATTTACTGTTCACTAACCATTTTGGTTAGCCTCCTCTCTTCTCTTCACACGATTACAAACAGAGCAAAATAGAGGGGCGAAATGAAACAAGTCTTGCCCCATGGAAAATTATAAGAAAACAAGGGATGAGAAATAAAAAGAAAAACATGGCATTACATAAAAGTAAAGGGAGAATACTGAGATTCTTTATAGTACCCATAAGTAGCAGATCAAACTCCAAAGAAGTAGGGAGAAAGAGAAATAAAAGAACCAATACATTATAAAAAGATAGTAACAATGCATTTTTTAATCAGATTCGAATTCGATCATTAAAATTGTAATCAATCACAATATTGAATTTGTTCTTAGATTGGATAGGTCATTTATGCACTGGCCGATTGTTTGTAATTGGAAAAGACCAAAATCGCTTCGATCTAAGTGGCTCACCAATTTAATGTTCTTCCACAAAAAACTTAACAATTAAAAAAATACTATGAGAGGCCAAACATGAAAAGCTTACTAATTACCAAAATATTTTTCCTACTTCCTCTTCGTCTCATTTTTCAACTGACATCTATCTCTCTTTCTTCATTACCATCTTTGCCTTATTCGTACCCTAATTAGTAAAACATTTATATGTATTATAATTAACAAGTATGAACGTTTCATAAACGTCTCAAACCTATAGGCTAAAATTGTCTTTTGTTTTACATGAAATGTGCGGTGTGTATATATATACACGTATAAAATAAAAAAATCATCAATAAACAACTACCATTTCTCTACTAGAAAATAATAATGACAATTTCACAAAAATTTACCATCGTAAATACATCAACATAAAAGGAATCAAATTTTTACTCGCAACCACAACAATGCAATGGTGGTTAGCTTGCGGCTAAGCGCAATTTTATCCTAGTTATTATTAAGGGAGAAATACACCATATGCCACTAAACTTTCACAATTGGGGGAAGGATACCACTAAAGTCAAAATAGGGCACCCAATACCATATAAATTGATAATGGTCGCTCTCTCCTTCCAACTTTCCTTCCATATCCCTAACGGAGCAAAACAATTTTGTTGTACAAGTGTCAAACTAACACCCAACTATATAAACTGGTCATTTCACTCATCCAATTCCTCGTTCGACAATCCCAAAATCCAATATGATACCCCTAAATCGCCGGTTGATGTCTAGATCATCTGCCACCATCTCCACAAAGCCTAATCCCTCACCTCCCGAACATGGTCGCTCTCTCCATATCATAGCTCGCGACCAGTGTGGGCGGACACTACATTCAGCTCCTTGCTCTTATTGACGCTCTTCTACACCGGCTGTGATCTCCCACTCGGCGAAACCTCTCCTCTACCCCTGTATCCGCATCACAGGATCAAATTTGTGGAAGTTCCCAGTCTCCGGCGTGGTGAACGCTTACATGATCGGAGATTCTGTAGTAGACACTTGATCGGGGTCGAGGAATCGGGCGGAGGTTTTTTTATATAGAGACAAGGAAATAGGAATAAGTAGAGAGCCCCTAGCGTGCACTTGATGAGTGTGAAATGGGCGCACGCAATTACAGTGATCAATGGTAGAATTACAATATTGCAGATCAGGACAGTTTCGTGTATGAGCGGGAGTGGAAAATGGAGTGAGGAGAAGAGATTGGATTTTGGTTGGAGGGGAGAGCTTGTGTGGGTGATGGGATATTGTATTGGTAAATGATTATTCAAGGAAGATTAAGTGGTTTGATGCAGATGAAGGTGTTTGAAGAAATTGAAAGAGTTAGGAAGGAGCTGTCGAGGCGCAAGAATGGCGAACGTGGGAGGGAAGCTGGTGGTGGTTTGGGAAGAAGGTGGAGATGGAAGATTTAAATCGTTGATATTGCGTTGGAAAAGAGAGAAATGAGTTGTCATTGGCTTACTTAGCCCACGGTAACTCTTTAAGTGTCTTTTTTTCTCCGTTAGCAAAATGGATGGAAAGTTGACAGATGCACATTTTATCAATTTACATGGTATTTGGTGCCCTATTTGCAATTTAGTGGTACCCTTCCCCCAATTGTAAAAGTTGAGTGGCATCTAGTGTATTTCTCCCTTATTATTAAAGAAAGATTATACAGTAACAAATTAAAAGTTTGGTCAACTCTTGTGGAGACCCCACATCACCACTCCTTTTTTATATCAATGGATGGGGGAAGCATAGTTAGTAAGGTGGTACAATGGATTCACCGTTGGAATAATCATAATGCACCTGCTTAGACTTCCTGCAAAGTCGTCTTCTTCCATTGCCAACTTGCCAAACAAAATTACTAAGAAAATATATGTTGATGCCACCTCCTAAATTCTCATTAGTCTAGTGTCTAGATATTATCATGATGTTGATTTTGTTTTATCAAAAGAAATCATCATTATTAACATCCATTTGACAAAGTCTCGATAGCATGTCGATTGGCAGGAGTCGGTCTGTTTGAGCTGATACTATCGATCGAATTGTAACCGTAGGATACAATGTACAGACAAAATTACGTATTGTCTAGGGATGACGATAAAATAAAACATCCATAAGATTTTATCTTCTAATATATTATGCATATACGTATAACAAGAGAGTCTGTAAAATTAGCGGTTCTCCTCCAAAGTCTTATATGTACAAGCCGGACAAGCTAATTAATATAAAATTTTCCACGTTCTATTGTCTCCTCATCGTGGATCCAACTTTGTTCAACGATAATTTTATGTTAAATTTATTCACAAATTCTAACGGTTACAAAGTACATCATTTTACAACAAAGCAAACTAAAAGATGGCAGCCGTTCACCTATATTCTCTACACACCATGATGGTAGTGGTGTGAAACTTAGGACCTAGTAAAGTGGGTTGGAGTGAAATCATGGTGAATGTCATGAATTTTAGAGGATTTTGAAAATCCTAACTACTACTGCATTCCACTTGTCCTCCACAAACTCAAGATTCCTCATGTCCATGTCCCTAGCTAGCTACTACCTCTGAAATTCTAACAATTCACATCCATGAATCTATAGGAATATCTATATATCATTATCGAAAGGAAATCCCCACTGGAGTGAGTTCACGTGGACTTGCCACCTTGCTGAGGATTTTCTGGACAATGACATTAATGAATGAATGAACAAAAGGCCTATGTTAGGTCGATTCCTACAATCCTAACAGTAGTCTCAATCATATATCAACCCTAGCTATATACCTTTTGCCAATATGTTAGGGTAACTAATTTTCTATACACCGTCTCTAATTAAAATGTTATGGCTGGTATGGGATATATGGTATGATCATCCGGATAATATGGTTTCATAATATACGGATGTATGCATACTCAAGTTGGTTGCTTAGTTATCATAAATTTAGTCATCACATTGTATCGTAATTTACCTTTTGCCAATATGTTAGGGTAACTGATTTTCTATACACCGCCTCTAATTAAAATGTTATAGCTGGTATGGGATAATGGTATGATCATCCCGATAATATGGTTTCATAATATACGGATGTAATCGTACTCACGTTGGTTGCTTAGTTATCATAAATTTAGTCATCACATTGTGTCGTAATTTATCTTTGCCATGCAAATCATATCAATATATCTCTTTGGCATCTATATAAAAAATAAATCGTTAGCCAATGGCCATATCATGTTAGAGTATTTCTGGACTACAAGGGCGCACTTCATTATATTAAGCAATATAATAAACGTCTAATGAGGAATCCGATCATAAGAAATTAACAATACTAGCAATTTGTTAGATGGGTCCAAAATTCTGACATTGCATCAATTTCCTTAGAGGACATAGTAGTGATCATTTTAGAACAAGGCTAAAGCTGCTATGGTAGTAAACGTCCAAAGTAGGGCACATGCGAGCACTCTCCAATGCTTGTCCCCAAGGATTCTCTCTTGAGTTTGTCCAAACTCGAAACACAAAATATGATTTGCAAGACAGATATGATTGTGAGCTGTTACTCCAGAAAGCTGCATCGGTGCATAATGACCTGTGGCTGGCGGGCTATATACCCCATTCTTTATGTCTAATCAAGAACAAGTTCTACAGTTCATAAAATTATTGAATCCCATTCAGGAAACATCTGAGAATATATTTCGAAATGAGGTACCATAGTACCACTCTAGCTACTATAATGCATATGAGTCTATACCAAGAACGAACACAATGATTTATGTGTTTTATGTTTGTGGTGCGCAAAGGGTAGTCAGCTGCTTAATTTGTTTCGAAATGAGCTCCTTAGTTACTTTCTGTAATATTCTGCTGCTTAATTTGTTTCGATGATCCCATAGCACAATGGTATGACTACAACCCCCTTTGCAAGTATTAAATGATTGGCATTACTGATAAATATGACAAAAAATGGCGATTTCGCAGGAAAACAACAGTTTGGAGGATGTTGGAAATTCAAGAGCTAGAACATCAATGCATAGGAGAAACAACAAATGAAAACACACTACGGAAAAAACACATTTGGGCTTGGCAACTAAATTGCTTCCAGATTTTAATTAGACTCATAATTGTAGGAAAACTGCATACAAGAAAGCAAGGGTTGTGTATGATCGCCATCTAAACCCTGCGTTACTAACTATTAACTAGGTATAGAAATAGATGAGATGAAACCAAAACCGGAAGAGAATTTGCCTCCCTTGTTGCCTCTTCGCTGAATTTCTTCCTTTATGGCAACTGCCCAAATGTGCATTAGTGATCATCTCCATGGCCATCCGGCGAGCCTCCATCCCCAATCACTTGCACCTGTAGTGGAGTTTTGTATCAAAAGCTTCAACTAACAATGACCGGCGAGATAGAGATTCGATATTTACACAGTTTCATAAAGGAGCTTACCTTGAAATGCTGGGAGCAAACATGGCACTTGTAATGCCTGCCTTTCTCCAGCAAGAACCATACCAGATCTTCTGCAAATATTTGCGACTACAAGCAGGTAGAAGAACAGATCCAAACAGTTCCCAAAGGCAAATGCTAAGAGACAATGAGAGAGGATCAACCTACTTCGTCGCCGGGGGCATCCAACTATTTGTTTGTCATAAACAGACCTCACAATACCAGGAGCTTCCTATCCAGTCATTACATTGAGCAAGACATATCATCAAGAAAAGCTCATTCAGACGCCCTCGTTCAAGAATCAGTACCAAGGTTCCTAAGGCTTTGGATATGAAATCGCCATAGCCGTGGATATATCAGAATAAGGAAATAACAAAAAGAGAATGAAGGAACAAGACTAAGAAAAGGAAGATAGAAACACACAGAGTCGGTGTCATCCGTCGCTCCTCAATCCCTGCTCTCCGTCGCCACGATCCCTAATGGCCCACTTGCAGGCGGTTTTGGAAGTTCTGTCCCTTTCCTCCGTGCTGAGAATCTCATCCTTGAGAATGCCCACCTTGACGGCCATCGCAAACCCTCCTCCACCACCGCTCCCGGTTCTCCCATTGGATATAGTCTCCGCGAAGTCGGCGATCTTCCGCTGCAGCACGGCGCGTAGCCCAGGCTCGATTAGGTTGGACTTCATGAACACGTCAGCGAGGTAGAGCTCCTGCTAGAGGGAGAGAGGGAAGACGATGGGGACCCGGAGGGTGGTCGAGAGGTCCGGCGTGACCACATCGTCGAGTACCACGAGTTTCCCTTCGTTGGAAGCAAACCTCAGCTGGTATTTGTGACAAACCAGCAGCCGGATAATGCATGTAGGGAACGCTGAGGAGGAGGATTGGCTGGCCATCATCGCGGCGGAGGTCTTGTCGATGTCCTCCTTGATGTCGACGGCGTACTCGACTTTGACTGTCATCGGAAGGAATTCAATTTAGTTCCCCTCAACTGTGGGGGGGGGGGGGGGGGGAATTGGATTTTCTTGCGGCGCACCAGGGTAGGCTTCCCCCAATCCACTTGCTGTTCCCACACAGTTCTCAACTGGTTATAGGCATGGGTCCTTCTGTAAAGCCGGTATTTCTCATTTCCACTCACAAATCTCCTCGTCATATGTAATGATTGAGGCTCTACCAACTATTGCCATTTGTGATAGGATTTTGAAAATGAAAAGAGTTGGTTACTTGGTTTGGTACACTCAGATTCATCGGCCAATGTGGTGGTTAATGAATGCTAGATTAGCAAGGAGCCAAGGAAGATGCAACGCTACACATTCGAGGAGCCATTGGAAATTATTCAGACAACAATGGAGATGGAGAACAAAATCAACAAAAGAGATTATTCGTCGAAAAACATTATCAAGGAGCACAACAAACACATATTAAGCACCAGTTCAAAGTGAGATGTAAATATCAAATAGCAGATATTGGCAAGGCGAAAAAAAGCTCCGTCTAAAAGGTTCACTCTTGCCGATATTTCTAAAGCTCTCTCTTTCGCTTAACTGTCACTGCGAAATCCCTACTTCACCTGGGGCTAGAATTGGGGAAGCATCATCATATG